TACTTACGTGCTTTGGGAGGTAAATCAATCTCAAACGATTTATATATAGTATTGAGTTCCATCAGAGCTCTCGTGATGGGTGCAGCATAAGTAGTTCTTATGAAGCCAATATTGAAAAAGCCAAAATTTCGAAGTACTCTAGCAGGAATGTTAAAATAGACGCGCTCCAGAAGGGAGGGACAATCCACAACACCTCTAATGATATCAAAAACAAAGGATAAAGACAGAATAGATCTCCGAGATTGTAGGGATTTTAAATTAATAAGCAAGCACCTAGAGTAGTATGAGGGCATGGGGTCATGAAAACGAAGGGGACGTAGTGCAAAGCCAATGAAAACTTGTTGGACACGTTCAATTCGACTTATGTGACAAGCATGATAAGCTCTCCTTGTAAATAAATTCAAAATTTGTATGGCTCACTTAATTGCAAACGTTTTTTCTTTTGTTTTGAAAATTTATAAAAATTAAATTGAGCGAAAACAAAAGCAAAGCAAAATAAAAGTAAAATAATCAACATTGAACTGCGTCAAAATGAAAATAAGGGAGCAAAACTCTCTGGGAAGACAATACCTGTACCGATATGAAGCAAAACTCTCTGGGAAGACAATACCTGTAATTATTGTACCATGGCTGAAAATCAAATTGAGAAATAGGATTTTCTGAAGCTTTTGGGAAATTTTGTTCCAGTGTTTGTTGGGTTAGTTCATGAGGTTGCACAACAAAACGTTTATTGTTTTTTATACTTTTTTACACCGCTAGCTATGCGGCATGTAGTACATATGTATGTATGTAATACGTACATATATGCATGTACATTAGGGCGGGTCAATTTGTATGGATCAATTTTTTTCGACATCATTTCTAGCAAATTCGGATTCTTCATAAAATTCTAAGAAAATGATCCTCCAGATCATAGCTCTAAATTCTTTAAATGATGCTAAATAAATATGCAGATTAATATTTACTAAAGTGTTACGAATGTTATTTTTTTGAAAACAAATTTGTATTTGGAGGTTTTTTGATACGAAGGATTAATTTTTGATATCTAATTCTTATTTAAAGAACCGCAAGATGGCGCTACAAATCAATAGCCCAGTCAAGTTTGCTCATAAAATAAGGGTAAGCGTACAATAATTCGCATAAGCTGAAAAATGGTACGAATGTTGCGAACAATATTATGAATGAAATATCAAAAGGTCCCAGCGTTAGGGTTATTATAAAAACTAGAGTGCCAGTTAA